CGCGCCCCCCCCCCAGCCTCCAAGGCCGCACCCCCACCGGAAGCGCCTCAGTGCGCGACACCTCACTTCCGCCTGGGCCGCACAACCCGCAGCCCGGGGGTGGGTGGGAGTGTGTGTGGGAGTCACGTCCTCGCTGCTTTCCCCCCCACCATAACGGCTCCCCCCCGAGGGAGATGCTGAGGGTCTCCCTTCCCCACCTGCTCTTCACGTGTGGCGTGGAGGGGGGGGCTCACAACGCCCCCCAACCCGCTGGGCTCTTCCCCCCCCCCCCCCCCCCCCCTTGGAACGGCCCCACCTCCCCCGCAGCCGGCGGTTGTGTGGGCGGGAACGCCAAGGGTCCCGTGTCTCGCTCTCATTGGCCAGTCCCAACGGCATTCGACCAATCAGAAAAATCCCCCGCGATGAGCCGCTTAATCAGCGGCTGTTGCTAGGGTAGGGGGCGGTACGGGCGATGAGTTGCGCTCGGCCTCAGCCCTCCCCGCTCCCCTCGCGGCGCGGCCTATGGCGGGGGGAATAACCCCCCCCCCCGTTACCCCCTTCGCGGGCTGGCAGCAGGCCCCGAGTTCCCCTCAGCCACCTGGGGAGACCCAAATTGAGCCGGATTTGCCCTTTTTTTAGCCCTTTTTTCATACCTCGCGTCACACCTGACGGGTTTGTGTCCCCACCAGGCGCTTCGCAGCCCGGTTTTTCCTCAGGAAAACCCGAAATCCCTCACCCGGCCCCGCGGGGGGGGGGGGGGAACGCACGCTCCGCCTCCAGCCACCCCACTCTTCACACTTGCCCCCTCACAGAGCCCAGCCTATGAGCGACGCCTCCTCCGCCGCTCCACGACTCTCATTGGCTAGCACCGCCCAGCGTCCCGCCTCTCCGCCTTTGACAGGCAGCGGCCGGTAAGGGAGGGGGAGAAGGGGGGGAGGCCTCTTCCTTCTCTGCCTTCTGATTGGCTGGCGCCGCGGGCGCGCTGCCTATAGAAGACGGCGCCCGCGGGAGGGGCGGGGTCAACTGTGTTCCTCGCACGCGCCGTCGCTCCCTGCGCGCTCTGCTCAGGTGAGAGGAAAATGGCGGGAAAAGGGATTGGGTGCAGCGAGGCGGCGTCGTTGCTCCCTGAGGCGATTTCTTCGTTTCCTCCAATTTGTGAGCGGAAAAGGGGGGGTGCCATGAGGTAAACTTACCCCCTCCCACCCTGTTTGCTGAGGGGAGACCGAGCCCTGGCGCTGTGAGGTGAAAACCAGGTTGTAAATCCTTTTATTTTCCCTTTTCTACTTCATATGCAAGGGAGCAATGTGGCACGGTGCTTTATATCCGTTGCGGTGAGGGAAAAGGGTTTTTAGAGGAACATGGAGGGGGGAAATTAAATCTCTTGGGGCTCTACCGTCCCCAGGTACTATGTCCTTTTAATCCTACCTTGGGATCAAAGGAGAGGGGGCAAGTACAACCCTTTAAATATTCTTCTGTTTGCTTGGAAAATTCTCTGAGGAAGGAGAAAGAGGAGAATTATGCACCTTTTTACCTCATTTAAGCCAGATTTTGGTGTTCCTGAGCACAAGTAAACTGTTTTGAACAGGAGGATGCACTAATATGGGAGTAAAAATGCTCTTTTCTAACCAAGTGTGGTGGTTTGTGAGGGAGCTACCCTAATGTCTTCATGTCCTGAGGAGGTGGCAAGCCATGTCTTGGAGGCTGGGTGATGGTAATACTACCAAAGTGCCTGAAATGAGAAATATAAAAGGGTTTTTATTATTTCATTGATAGCTTTCAGGGTAGTTGTTGAGCAGCTGTGAGGGCGAGATGTGTCCCCTCTTGCTGTGGTGCTGCTTGGTTTGGGGTTGGGCGCTGGGGAGTGGTAATAAATCCTATAAAAACAAGGTGGGTTTTGCTCTTTTATTGAAAACAAGTGTGGCTTTATATTTTGAAGAGTAAACATGTTGTCTTTATTACCTCTTTGGTTGAGACATATTACCCCTTTGATTGAGACAAGAGCTAGTCTAACCCAAAATTGTTGTATTTATTGGGTTTTTTTATTCTTTTCAGCATCTGACCCTTGTAACTGGTATAACAAAAATCCTTCCAATCCCTCAAAGACTGGCACCCTCATAATTAAAGTATCTTTTATTTTGACCCAGGAATATCTATTTGGGGGGAGCTCAGCTGCTGCCCCCCCATCTCCAACCCCTTCAAAGTCCACTGGGGTGGCTGGTCTGTTTTGGGGGGAGGGGGGGTGGCTTGGGACTTTTGGGGGGGTTAAAGGGTTGGTCTGGTTTTTGGGGGGATCTTAGAGGGCACTTAGAGCTTTCGGGGGGATTAAAGGCTGACTGGTTTTGGGGGGGGGCTTTGGGCCACTCCC